ATATAAAATAGATAACCAGCAAGGACTTACTGTATAGCACAGGGAACTATACTCAATATTTTGTAATAACCTATAAGGGAAAAGAATATATATATATAACTTATATATTATATATATATATAACTGAATCACTTTGTTGTACACCTGAAACTAACACAACATTGTAAATCAACTATATTTCAATTTAAAAAAGAAGTAAATGGCCCATTCACCCAGACTCTATTCCAGAGCTTCATCCTAGGGTAACAGCTCCATCCTTTCTTGACACATAACTTTTGCAAAAGCAGTAGCTGAATACGTGGAAAACCATTTTCAAACCATATTCATGGGGACTTCCCTGGTGGTCCAGTGGGTAAGACAGTGGTCTCCCAACGCAGGCGTCCCAGGTTCGATCCCTGGTTGGGAAACTAGATCCCACATGCTCAGCTAAAGATCCCACGTGCCGTGCAGCTAAGACCTGGTGCAGCCAAAATAAATAAATAAATTTGTTTTAAAAACCATATTCATGCTCAGAGGTGCGCTGGCCATGAACAAAGAGCCTGAACTTAAAGGGCTAAGCACTTCCTTCACAATCTTGCTAATATTGACAGTTTGCTTAGGAAAGCCTACTTTACAGACAGTTCAAAAATAAACTTAAGCCCAGCTCCTGTCCCTATTACTCCTCCCAAAACTTTAGATTAATCGAGTAAAAAAGAACCCTGTGTATATATTTTACTATACTCAACAGGGCCTTTGGAAAGAACCTGGGTTATCTATATCCTGGGGCTTGAGCGAGTAAGAGGCAAGAGTAAAGGGTGGGAGATGTTAACCTGTAGGGGGAGCTCAGGCATGGCCCCATCACTCCCCAAGAGTGACAATGGTGCCTTAGTCAAGGCCTCTGGCATTTGGGGGGATGGAGCTTTGTTTTAACCATCTTTTGATTGAGAATCTTTGGCCTCTCCTTCCAAAGCACTGGGGCAGTAGCAGGGGTCTGAGGCTGTCACCCACCACAGTTGGAGCCCTAAGCAGGAGGCAGGGGATTCCACAGGGAGTAAGGCAAGGAGCTAATGGCTATGAGCACTGCTCTGGGCAGTAGCAAGCAACACGTCCCCAGTGTGATTTTTCCCTTGGGTTTATCCTTCCTTGCTTCTTCTTTCTTCCAGAGTGGTAAAGCATGACTCTAGGGATAAATCCAGCTAAAACAAAGGATTGGGATTTGGGCAGCAAAGTTCTGTTGGAGACAGCACTGGGAGGAATCTCAGGATGGCTGCAAGGCTAGTGAGCACAGCCCACGTCGAGGAAGCAGCATCTCGATGGGGCTGAGCATTTGTGTCTGAGACCACAGCAGGCTGCTCTGGGACCCGAAACAACAGGGCAGCTGAGAAGCTTGTGGGCAAAGGCTCACATGGAAAACAAGGCTCCTGACCTGGGAGAGATACCAACAGACTACACTGGTCTCAGTTGTGGTAGTGATTTACGTGCAGGAATGAAGGTGTTTACTTCACCATGGGCAGATCTATGGGATACAGGTTTGGGGCAGCAGGTTCCAGGAGATGACAAATGGCAAAGCAAAGCATTCACTCCCTCCAGGTTCTTTCCCACACACACACCCAACCCCCATTTTTCTCATTTCTCAGCCAAAGCTGAAGTGCTGTTACATTGCTCTAGAAGAAATGGCATTAGGCCCACTGCAGGAAATGAGCTTATGAAAAAGAACGTTGCTGTCATCAATAGAGTCAAGATGGATTACCAAGAGCTGGGGAATTCAAAGGCACAGAAAGAGTATTTTGCAGTTTTCAGCAGACCCTGAATGCTGGGGTCAATGCCTATTTGGCACACACACCAGGGCCATGCCTATTTGGAGCCATGCTGGTAGAGAGATGACAGCCCTGAGCCTTATTTTCACATCAGTCTCATATCTCTCCACTTACTCTTTTATTTATTTATTTATTTATTTATTTATTTGGGCTGCACCGGGTCTTAGTCACGGCAATGCAGGATCTTTAGTTGTGGTATGCGGGCTTCTCAGTTGCGGCATGCATGTGGGATCTAGTTCCCTGACCAGGGACCGAACCAGGGCCCCCTGCATTGGGAGCACGGATTCCAACCCACTGGACCACCAGGGAAGTCCGTCTCCACTTACTCTTGACCCACTCAAGTCAAAAGGCAGGGAAGAGGCAAGAGTAAAGTGTGGGAGATGATAAACTGCAGGAGTAACTCAGGCATGGCCCCATCACTACCAAAGAGGGACGATGGCATGTTTGTCAAGGCCTCTGGCATTCTGGAATGCCCTCACACCACAAGTACCACAGAGCTCCTTCCTCTGGGTTATGGCTCATAGCAAAGTTTCCATGATCGCCAGGAGTCATTCCGGGGGCAGCCTGGGGGCCAGAACATCTGTAGGTTCTCCAGCACTAGAACCCCTGCAACTCATTCCTCATCTATACGCAGTGACATCCAGAGGCCTACCTGCAACAAGCTCCTGAACTTGACTTGAACCCTGCAGAGTATGATAAATACCAGGTCCCAGGATTTCTCAGAATTCAAGAACTAGGATTCACAATCTTCTGGCTCCAGGCAAGTACTGGATAACTGCTGATACCCCAAAACTTGCTAAGCTTCTGCCCCACCTAAAGACACTGATGTTTCTGTGGCAACTGTGATTATGGAAGAAACTCAGGGTCATCAGGAAAAGTCATCAGTCGGCTTTTACAAAGTGGTAAATGGGGACCTCAAAAAAAAAAAAGCTTATGGGAATAACTGCCAATGGATATGGGACTTCTTTTTGGTGTTAATGAGATGTTCTAAAACTAGATAGTGGAGATTATTGCACAACTTTGTGAATTATACTGAAAATAACTGAATTGTACCCTTCAAAAGGGGAGATTTTATGGTTTGTGAACTATATCTCAATTTTCTTTTTTTTTAAAAAAGGGGAAGGTCACTAAATAATTACAAGGAGTAGAATAAATAGAAGCAGAGCCTAGATCAGGATTTTATTCCAGGAAGACTGGTTCTTCCTAGGCTGAAATCTATTTGGATCTTTGCATAAAATATTTCTTTCTTCTTCTTCTTCCTACCTTTTTAAAAACAGAAAAGCATTCTTGGAAACTATACTGAAATATACAGTTACAAAAGTTTTTCCTGTCAAACTCCCACAGCCTTGAAAACACAATTTCAGGTATCATGTCCTCCAGTCTCTCACCCACTTCCAAGGTAAGTGCCCCCACAGATTCTGGATTCTGGAAAGCGCCCTTTGCTTACCTATGACTAACACTTTATACGAAATTAGCTATCTGCCGTCACCTCCCACTAGCATAGCCTTGGCACATAGAAAGCGCATGAAAAATGTAAATATACTGAATGAACTGAACACCAGATCATCATCTTGTAAGGGTTGTTTTTTGTTGTTTGTTTTTTTGTTTTTGTTTTTTGCGGTACGCGGGCCTCTCACTGTTGTGGCCTCTCCCGTTGCGGAGCACAGGCTCCGGACGCGCCGGCTCAGCGGCCATGGCTCACGGGCCCAGCCGCTCCGCGGCACGTGGGATCTTCCCGGACCGGGGCACGAACCCGTGTCCCCCGCATCGGCAGGCGGACTCTCAACCACTACACCACCAGGGAAGCCCAAGGGGTTGTTTTTTTAATATTTATTTATTTATTTGGCTGCGCCAGGTCTTAGTTGCGGCACACAGGATCTTCGTTGCCCTGAGCAGGATCTTCCTTGCGGCATGTGGGCTCTTAGTTGCAGCATGCGGGATCTAGTTCCCTGACCGGGAATTGCACCGGGCCCCCTGCGTTGGGAGCACAGAGTGTTAACCGCTGGACCACCAGGGAAGTCCCGAGGTTGGTTTTTTTTTAATTAGTATCTTTTTTTTTTTTTTTAAGGCACCTAATTTAAATCTGCAACACTGCACTTCTGCAATCATGTAGCAAGTAATTCGCTACCTAAAACAACAAGATATTGTAAAATGTTTTCTTTGAGGGAATGTGTTCATTCGTGCCAAGAATAAATCAAATGTTCCCTTTGAGGGATTTTTACCTTGGTACAGGTCAAGAGGGAGAATGAATCTGAGCATCAAAAGCTGTGGTTCCTGGTGGGTACAAAGATAAAAAATGCTCTCCTCTCTCTTGTTTTCTCCCCCAAACCTTTAAATATCACAAAGCTTTTAAGGAGAGTCATTAAGACTATGCAAAGCCATCTTAGAACCAGGAGTCTTTTCCTGCCTTTCCTCTTCATTACTGTTCAAAGATTTTCTTAGAAAACCTAAGAGCTATATTATCATGACAGGCTGGGAATAGAGTTCAGATAATACAGGAGCTACTGAAAATTAGGAGGGTTTTGCCCACCCCTTGTATTTGACCAACATATGCCCAAAATCTGACCTTCAAAGCTACTGAGGTCCTAAAAGCTCAAATTATTCACTCCTCACTCAACTTATTCCTCCAGGAGACAAGCCCACATCTCTAACAGGTGCAGCATATGCTGCTGCATCACAGGGCCCACCCCGTGGGCAATGTGCACAGAGCTGGCGGGTACCAGAGTCACTCCAAGGAAACCGCAGATGGCACACCATCTCGGAGAGCCCCCCCCCCTTGTTGTTTGTTATAAAACTTTTCAAACACACAGAACAAGAAAAAGAATATTACAGTCTCCCCTAGTGCCACACCTACCCCCAAGATTCAACAATCGTTCACATTTTGCCATTTAAAGTACCTTACAGATAGAATAACACTAGATACTTCATAATAACACCCCTGGGTGCTTCAGCATGCAGCTCCCAAAATAAGAATATTATCCTAAATACCCCAGTACAGTTATTCCCTCTAACAAAGTGAACAATAATTCCCTAATATGAACTAATACTCAGTCCAAGTCCAAATTTCCCTCATAGACAAAGGAGAGTCCCTCCCTTAAATCACACTATGTCCTGTCTCCACCCTCGCCCTCCTCCACATCCCAGGTACCAGGCACCGTCCTGCCGTCACCATGTTGCCATCACTGCAGCCCCCTTCCCGAGTACCTGTGCAAAAGGTGCCGTCATTGGGGATGAACACCTTGTTGTTGTTTGTGGCTCGATATCCTTCTAGGCAAATGCAATAAAATCCTCCGAGTGTATTGTGACAAGATGTGTGGTTCCCACAGACCACAGTGGCTCCGAACTGGCACTCATTTTTATCTGTTGACACATTGAGACAACGCACAGAAAGGGCTGTCAATCCATACCACGATCAACCACCCAGACTGTTCTCCTGTGTTATGGACTTGAGAATCAATATTCTGTGACAACAGCAGAAAGATCTATTTCCCCAGCCTCTTCTCCTCTCACTATACTTCTCAGACTACAGGACACGGGCCCCTCGTAGTGTCGCACCAGGTGTATTACAAAACCACAAGAGAAACCCAACATCTCAATCTGTTAGTCCATCTTATTTGAAGATTGGGAGAAGGGAATGCTTTGTGAACGTCTCCACACTTAAAAAGATCTTGTCATAGGCCTGGGAAAACAAATCCAACAGAATCCCACTTTTCCAGCCCAACCATTCTCTTGCTTTTTTTTTTTAAGCGAAAACCAGAGTAGGATGATTTTACATCCAATGATTAGCTGGAAAATTTGTTACTTCTGAGTTACCGGGAGACACAATGGAATTAGTGCTCAAGCCTCACCCAGGGGCAGGGCTAATATTGAGGCAGAAGCAGCTCCTGCTCATTGTCAGTGATCCATATAAATAATGTTAATCACCCAGTGAGGAGGGGCTGGAACACGGGATGCTTGATGAGACCACAGAACCTGCCCCGAGTATTTCTAATTCAACAATTTGACATCAATGTAAAATGAAAGTAAACCTCCCTCCCATCTCTGTCCTCCAGCCCAGGGGTCAGCAAACATTTTCTGTCAAAGGCCAGTCATAGGTCTCCAATTGCAACTGCTCATCCATACTTTGGAGCACAAAAACAGTCCCAGACAATCAGTAAACAAATTAGTAATGAAAAACAGGCAGCAGTGAAGTTCGGCCCCCAAGCTCCAGTTTGCTGACTCTGCCCTAGCCTCTACCATCAGAGGAAACTCCTGTGACCAATTTATTTAGCATCCTTTGAGAGCTGATCTAACCAGCTAGTTTTTTGGCGGGGGGATATCATCAACTTATGAACTGGAGTTTTCTTGTCTGTTATTTAGTGTTTTATTCCACTACTGGTTCCCTCAAAGCAGTTCAGTCGCCTCCCACAATTGCACTCCATTCCTGC